TTTTTTAGATGAATCAATTCCCTTTTCTAAACAGAAATAGCCTCATTCAGCTTTTGAAAACAAATGCTGAATTATGCAATTTTCATTTGATTTACAGCCGCTATTGCTGTTTACAACTCGCTCCACGAAATTTCGTGGGAAAGATCGCGCGTGGAATGCATCAGTTTAGAACCAGTCTCCCCTGGCATAAAAACCCTTTCGAGTCTCCTTGAATTTTATCAACACTTGTTGATGTCCCATCATTGTGAAAAAAAGCTGAAAGATTTCCGCACAGCCCCCTACTTCATCGTGCATACAGTTCTTGGATAATATGGAGAAACAATTGATTGCCTTTGTTTTAGAACAGTAAAGGATTATGCAAATCTTTTTTTTCCAACAAACCAACCGTCAAGAATGAGGAACTAGTCACTTTATGTAGTGCAGCCTACATCAAAAAAATTTCATTCTTTTGAAGTAAAAGTAGCACTCTTACGGTCTTAAGAATCTATAACATAAGCGATTAACAACGAACTGAGCACGCGCAGTTCTCACCGGGCGTTACTGCAGAGATATAAATATGCATTATATTGAAGTTTCATTTGTTCATTATTTATATAACTGTGTCGAACTCAAGATGGTTAAATTCTGCGAAGTACCATGTAATTTCTCTGATGGATCACATTTGTTTCGCTGTGACTAGAAGGTATTTCAATTTCATCAATTATTTTTCTTCGCCATACAACTTAAGCGCAACAGTTTGAACTCACAATTATCTACAACACCAGCGTTTCTTGCGTCAAAGGATATCTGGAAACCATTATCTTGTAGAGACGTTGCTGGAAAATCCAAATGCAGAAACTGAAGTCTTGTAAGAATTATTTCTGTTTCATATCATCAGACTGCTTTCTTTAAAACTTGTGGTCTATGAGTTTCCCTGATTAAAGTGAGTCTCGAGGAGATGAGATGTACACGAAAAGCTTGCCAGCTCATATCTTTTATCGCGGGACCAGTGAGAAAATTTATTGATATTGTCCGGCAACGGAGAGCTTTTGTCTCGTTACTTCGCTCGGCATTGCATGAATAAATTTTACGTCGCTCTTAGTTGGCCGAAGACGTTTCCCTGAGTATTAAGTAATATTACCCACTAAGTTTTCCGCCAGATCGTCGAATTACGGTGCTTGCCGGTTTAAAGAAATGGCGGCGGCGAATCTTTTCAGCCGATTACAGATTGTATATCGAAGCATATCCTGTGTTCTCGATCGAGAGTTAGATCATTTCTCGAGATCTTTTATTCATTTCCTTCGGAGAAAACCGATAAGAGCGTATGAACGATTTCATGGTCCTTTTGAAACGGATAGCGAACGACCAGCAAACGGGAGCTAAGTAGGGTTTATTGTCTAAAAGCAAATTTTGGAACAAAATCTTTGCATGGTTACGATTGTAAGGTAATATTTGGAGGAAGATAGGAATGTACTTTGACTGATGGCTTAATTTTAAGGGCTTGTGTTCATATCGTTTCATTGCGGTGCGTTAAAAAAAAAGGGACCAATATCCAGCCATTTTGACTAAGCAAGTTGAATGTTCCGCTTCGGCGAATAAGTAAGCCAACGGACCTGATTACTGTTTACATATCCAAAAACGGATAATTTGAAACTATTTGGCAATACCGAAATTTTTTTGGTTGAAATAATAATGCATGCATGGTCCTTTGGTAGCGTTGCAAATGTAGTAGTGGATATTCTGAGTCACCATAGCCTCATCTGGCCACACCACGCGCATTATGTCGCTCAAGCGACAAAAATATTCATTTTGCCATTGTTAATTAACAAAGAGAAGTAGGAAAGAAGAAAACAAAAGAAAAAGAAAAAAAAAAAAACAAAGGAGGCACATAATTTCAATGACGCTAGTTCAAGTTATAATGATTGAATAGATGCCATAATAAACGGATTTTGGTATCCCAATTAAACTAACAATCCTTCAGATCCAGGAGTTTGCTGATTAAATTGAATTCCTACGACAGGTGAAGTCATGACAACAGAGCGTTCCTGGATTTTACGCTTTCGTCGCCTAAGACGATTGAGATGTTTACTGGTTACGTGGCTTATAGTTCTTCTGCTTTTATTTGCGTCTTATGGAGAGCTGAATTACGTTTGGAAGACTTTACAACGAGGCGCATCAGCTGCTTCACAAAAGTAAGTCTTTTGTTCTTTCTTTGGGAAATTTACCATTTTGTGGGTCAAACAGTGGTATATGATGTGCGCGTTCAAATTAAAAGTATGGCAGATGATGACTTATATAGCATTCCATTTTGGAAGGGCATACGTGTAGAGGGATAAAAAATTTCAGGGTTGTTGGCGAGAGTTTCTAACAGTAATTTTTAAATGGCGTGTAACGGAGAAGTGAACTAGAGAAGTACCTTAAGAAAGCATATGCACGTCATCTAAACTTTTCATAGCGTTAACGGGAGCGTTGCAGTGAACAAAGCAAGAAAGGAGACTGAGACTAAACTAGGGCAGATGGCCTCGTTAATTTCCAGCTTATAGGCTTTGTGCGGATGATAATCGCTAACCAACCAAACCATCCAGCAGTTTTAGGAGTAAATTTGTGAGTTATAAGTGCAAAAAAGTTTCAAGTCAAAAGAGTTATTATAATATAGCGCGGGCGCAAGTCGTCTCATAATGAGAAATAAAATGAAATTATGTAATAAAGAGTATAACAAAGTGAGATGTTAACAAGAATAACAGAAAAAAAAAGTGAAAAGGGAGAATAATAAGTATGAAAGGGATAAATTAAGATGTTTGACCTGGGAATTTAAAGACGGCTGCTCCCAATAGATGTTCGTGGCTTCCTTAGGTACCTGAGAGGTTCTGAAAATTGTCGCTCCCTTTGTTCAGAAGATTGTTTTCAAATTCTGGACTCAAGCTTCCAATTAATAATTAAGGAAGCCATGCACATCCTTTGGGAGCAGCCGTCTTTAAATTCCCAGGTCGCACATCTTAATTTATCCCATTCATACTAATTAGACTCCCCTATTAGCTTAAATAGTTTCATATTTTTCTGTTATTCTTGTTAACATCTCACTTTGTTATACTTTTTATTGCATAATTTCATTTTATTTCTCATTATACAACGGAAGATGGATGATATTCCATCGGAAACGTGTTTTGTTTTTATTAAAAAAAAACATGAAGAAAAAAAAAAAAAAAGAACTACAAAAGCATCGTGTGGTTCATCAATTACCGTGAGGGTAATGGTACTTATCTTCGCATCATACTGTTATTCTTGTTTTCTTTTAACAGGAATGAGTCCAAACTGTGGAATTTCCCCGAGGAAACAACGGGCGATCCAGTCATTCATCAGCGCTGCTCTCCAGTAACTAATGTCCTGTTTCTTAAGACACATAAAACAGGGTCGTCCACAGTATCTAACATTTTTTTCCGATATGGTGACTCCCGAGATCTTTCATTTATTCTCGGTGGAGACACACTCATTGGTTGGCCAGGACGCTTTAGAATTGAACATACCTTGAAACGTAATAATCTACAGCCAAATTTTCTTTGTAGTCACACGAGGTACAGTAAGAAAACGATGAATTACCTTTTTCCAAAAAATGGCAGTAAATATATCACAATCCTTCGAAACCCAGTTGAGCAATTTGAGTCTGTTTTTAGCTATATGGGGCTCGGTAAAGTATATAATCTAGGTGCTGACCTCACACAATCTATTAAACTATTTCTCAGGAAAGGGATAGAATTTAAAGACATACATAAAACTCGGTCGTCAGTTTTAGCCAGAAACCCAATGATGTTTGATTTGGGTTTAGACCCTCAGTTTTATCAGAATGCTACAGCAGTGAAGAACTACATTGCATTTTTGGAGAAGGAATTTGACCTAATAATGCTTATGGAGTACTTTGAGGAGTCCGTGGTGCTTATGAAGCGCTTACTTTGCTGGGAACTCAGTGATGTTCTACATATTAAAACAAATGAGAGAATAGATAAAGAAAAAGTTGCGTTCAGCGAAAACATGAGGGAAAACATAAAACGGTGGAACAAAGCTGATATGTTGCTCTATGATCACTTTAACAAGACTTTTTGGAATAGAATACAATTGGAAGGTGAAGGGTTTTACAAAGACCTTGCAGTTTTTCAACAAATGAAGAACGAAATGGAAAAGACATGTTACAGTGGAACAACACTCCAAATGGCCTATAGCGGCAAATATGTGAAGAGCCTGGCTTTGAATCCAAACCTGTCGCAAGCAAATAGAGAGAAATGTGAAAAAATGACAAGAAAAGAGAACAGTTATCTTGAGTACTTAAGACGGAAGCAATCTTTTAAATCATCTGGACCTATGAAGGCAGTATTAAGAGAGGAAAATGAACCTAACAAGCTTACCTGGGATGTGGCAAAAGATCTTCGATACGATCCCCTACCACTTTGATCATTGTGTAGTTAAACAGGAATTCATTTTCGACGAGGCTAATTTGGGATAACATCGGTTTGCCTACATATTTCTATGCATGAGATCTTAATGCCCACATAATTTTTTTACTAAGGTATTTGTTAAGGCTAACTCAAGAAATACCCGGGCATATACTAGTAATTAGGGTTTAAGGTCACATTTACGATCATGTTCCCTATATTTTGCGAAAATGTCTACCATTGTGCTATTTCAAATAAAACGTCAGGTATTCGATTTTTCAAAACTCATTGCCTCATCTGTGTTTTTTGGTAAGGGAATAATTTGTGTGACTGTCGTGCATGAAATTCAGTCCGGAGGCTGTACTCAATAGGCCGAGGAAAGTTCTTGGTTAACTTCATTTTATTTCCAGGATCGTGGCGCCCTGTTTGAATAAGTGCTAGCAATGCTAGGCTCTTATCAATAGACACTTACTTAACTTACTCATCGAGAGGAATGCAATTATTAGAGGGAAAGCCCCAAGAAACTCAAAACTAAGAATGTTGGGTACAAAATTTAATTTTGAAATGCTATTGACATATCTGTCAAAGTTATCAGCAACAGCGAAAGAGACTTTATTCTCTGGATTCCATAATGATTCTATTAAGCGCCCTCGTTCCATTACGCGCCTCCTCTCTCGAATTTATTTTTGTCGATAAGCGCTCATATTGAGTAAGTACCTTCATTCCAATAATCGTGTTCTGCACAAACAAGCGCCCTGCTTCGAGTAGGCGGTATCCGGTCGTTTCGTACCCGCGGTCGTTTCGTAACCAGTGGTTTCATGCCCAAATTTAGTTTAATTTACTCCTCCTGGTTGCAGTTGTCCTGGTGCTGAAGATATGTTAGGTGTGTGCTCTACTCCTCCAATCCGCAAATCTCCCTGATGATTGGATGGCTCTCTGTTACAAGCCGTAGGATCATCACCTTATGTCGGCTGGTTATCAAACACTGTACCGATCTTCTTCCAGTCGTCGATTCCATTTTCGAAATCGAACTTGCAAGGAACTTTTAATAAACAAAAGGAAAAAAAAAATTCTGTTACGTTTCAAACGAAGCCTTTCCTCCAAATTCCTTCAACGAACTATCAAAAAATTTCCAAAGACCGACAAGCACAAAAAAAGAGAACAGAAGAAAAAGAAAAAACAAACAAGTAGAAATAAGACAGAACACAAAAAGCAAACATACCCACAAACACCAAGAAAAAATTAAATGGATAAACTGTCATTAATCACACCGTATTTCTGTTCCTTTTTGGCGCTGATACTTTCAGCAAAAGTATTAATAGTTGGTTTTTTAATCATCTGAAACTCATCAATAAATCGACTTTCCCTTTTGCAGTTAAAGAGACAAGATAAACTGAATAATATAATTGCCTTCTTTAAAAAAAAAAAAAACAAGCATTTGAAGTCAGAGGACATAGTCTGCGTGCCGCCTGTGGCTATTTTATAAAGAAAATAGAATATCTGAATAATACAGGAGGAAAAGAAAAATGAACAAATGACAAATATTTCCAAACGCTTCTAAGCGTATACGGTGCATAGTGTGATTTATACCTAAAAAAATAAATAGTGGAATCATTATTTTCTCTGAATACTCAGCTATTTTAAAAAAACCTTTAAGTGTTCTGAAGAAACTACGGCACTTTTATTGGCAGCACAATTTTCCCCATAATTTGAGATATAAAGATGTCATTAAAATTATGAATAGCAGTAGAAAACGACAGCTTTATAATTTCTTGATAGTTTGAACACTGCAGCATAAAACAATCGGACCACAAGCTGTGCCTCATCAAATTACCACAATTTTCCGCCCTGTCTTCTCTGCATTGCGTGACTTATAGAAGACATTATAATAATGGCAGATGTTGATAAGGATGCTGTGATATCGGGCTTTGAGTACGAGTTTGTTTCGACCGTTTTTGAAGAATTTCACTGTTTGATTTGTCAACTACCTTTGCGAGAACCAGTACTCACGAGGTGTGGGCACAGATATTGCAAGAAATGTCTTAACGAGGCCATGAAGAGGTAAGGAACTTTGTCAGACATTTCAACGTTAGTTGAAATGTTGTTCTTTCGATTGGACTCACTAAGTAAATTTCAAAGTCCATCTCCCAGAACTTGCTAATTCATTTAAAAAGAGTTTTAGAGTTTCTGGCAAGACTCATATTCAGAATACATCGCTCTGGTATATACGGATTCTGACGATTGCGTTGTATGTACATGTCGAGACGGAAAATCTATCTAATGTTGTTTCCGGTTTTATTTCTTGGATTATTCCATCGTTGTGGATACCGCAAATGATTAGCAGTAGAGAATTAACTTCTTCGGCTTAGAATGCGGTTTTAAACGCTACTAAAGTGTGATATGTTTAATCGAAAGCGACAGAAATTTCTTCAATCGTGTCATGATCGCTTTTTTCCTTCAAGGACAGCTTTTCATCGGTTTAATCCGATTACCAAGGCGGTGTCCTCACTAATCTAACTCTTGTTTTTATTCTCGCGAATTTTTTTATTACAGACAACAAGTTCCTGAATGTCCTGTTGACAGGGAAAGATTGGACCGAGAAAAGGTGATCAATGTGGCTCATTGTAGAATTTATCGAGGAAGAATAAGAAACAAATTTGGCAGACACATGCGGCCTAAAGAACAGCATGACGTCTGGAAGGACTGTTGTGATTATTTTCGAGACAGTTTTAATAAATAAAACAACAGGGATGAGACGCATGGGTGATTTACATAGCACGCGATCGAATGGAAATGATGTCACGCAATGCCCATCACCACAAATACATAGGGACAAAAACCAAGGTTCCATTTTAAAACTCCAGGATGAAAATACCTTCAATTTAATTGCCTACTGTATTATTCTATAGCATTATCTAAGAGAAGATGTAGTGGCACAGTTCTTGCAAACATGTCGTAGTCGCTCAGGCAGATGTTAGAATTCACAACTCAAATGTCTTAGTTCAGTGACATCATGGGTGGCCGGCTCGTCTCGGTTTGGTTATGTAAAATGTTAATATGGAGGTGGGCGAATGAAATGGCGCGGGTAAAGTTCATATAGAACAAGTTACCGGGGAAAAAGAATAATTATCATACTGAAAATATTGATGCTGATCCCCTCAGTGTTTTGTTTGAAACATAATATCTTTCATGCGTTAACATTCAATGTGTATAAATCAAACTGAGTGATGCAATGATAACCGAGTACATCGACTCAGCATTGTCGACCGTACCTCAATCGTTAAAAAGACGACGAATAGTAAAAACATTAAATTTCTCAAATAGCTAATCAGTTAAAAGTTTAGTTTCTGTGCATCTCTTTTTTGGCTGGAATTTTTTTCCAACGGGTGATTCACATTAAGTGGAAGTTATTGTTATCGTTTGTTATTTTTATTATGATTTCTAAAACTTATTTCTCCCAAGCGTCAAGTACATTGACATTTCTTACATCATTGAAATAAGGTTGTTATAAGTCGCCAATTTTATGTTGTCCGATATAATTTTGTGACAACGCAGGTCAAACAGGTTTGTCTCGGTTTTCCAGAAGTAAATTGATGAGTCATTGTGTTTCTGTTTATCTTGTACCTTTTAAAAATAATTTTACTTTTCCATCTAGGACATATTTCCCGATAAGGCGACAGAAAGAAGTATTTTGTCTTGCCATGTGAGATGTCCAAGCATAGGATGCGAGTGGACTGGGGAGACCAGAGATGCCGAGGTGAGAAAAGAGCTTATTAGCTGTGAAGGACAAGTGGTGCCCGCGTATCGCCTAAGAATTGACGTGAATAGTGAAGTGAATTAAATACAAGCCACCCTCCACCCCCTCTAAGATTATTTTCTCACAGTAGCTGTCCATTTCCGTGTTCGTTGACCAATTCCTAGAAATTGGTCTTTAAGTCCAAGAGATGTTTGGGAAAACTGATCTCTGGTTCAAGTTATCTGTACGATGTAACAGCCTACAAAGTGTTGGAATTTAGCAAATACAAGATATACTATTAAGCAAAAATTCTATGTTAGACCAATTTTTGCATGCAAACTTTTTCATATAAGAGGTGAATAGAAAACAGTATTAAGAGGTAAAAAATTATGGAGCAAAAATGTCTTTAAAAGGAACATCATCTTGAATGACGTCGTGAGCCGTCCTCTGCGGTTTCAACGTGCAAAACCCATAATTTTCATCTAAGCTTGTATCTGAGACATGAGATCGACTCTATTCTGCTGGCCAAGGTTCCTGTTCTAAATGTGCTCTAAACGCGTCCATTTTATGGCAAGAAAGCTTGAATAAGTCTTGGTCATTAGTTGGAAGGGTTTTTATTTTTCCTGAACCCATTAATTACTTAAAGATGCTGAGTTATGATCAACTTCGGCGAAGAATAATGTGGGATCATTCATGGATTTCCTTCTGCAGACTCATTTACAGACCTGCGCTTGCAGGATGACTCCCTGTCCGAATCCTCACTGTGATGTCACCATGGAGAAGAGACTTGTGGATGACCATGTGACCAATACCTGTCAATGGAGAATGGTGCAGTGTGGATACTGTGGTGAAAACCACGCAAAACGTGATGAAGAGGTCATTATACAGTATTCCAGTAGCGATAGAAGCGGTAACACTGTAGTTGAAACCCTGATAACAAGAAGATATATATTGTTCATCTTTTTTGATAGAAACACGCTGCAGAATGTCGAAGACGTCCCAGCGATTGTTCTAATGGTTGTGGTGAGGTTCTTGCAAAGGAAGAGGTAAGAGAAATTTTATATTACTTTCTCCCCCAAACAAGTTTTTTCTATGTAACTTAACTTGTATTCAAACCATCTGGAGGTAGCGGGTAATCTGAACGAAATATCGGGTGCATTGATACAAAAAAAAAAAAACAAAAAAAACCCAAAAAAGGAAAAACGTCAGTGTGTAAGAATCGAATGAACACTTGAATGACAATTTCCATCTCAGGATCTCTTTTAAAAGCGATATTATATGATACAGGATTCCCAAAAAATTCCTACCAATTTTTCGTTAATTCCCCCGTTTAGATGATGGCTCATCAGGACGTTGTTTGCTCTCACACTGTTGTGAGCTGCCAGTATGATTATTTGGGATGTGACAGTAAGGTAGGTTGGCAATACATTTAATTATAACGGATAATAGTAAATACGTTTTTCAGTTTTTTCAGAAATACTTGATATTCTTTACTGGCCAACTGACTTTCCTTTCTAAGATTATCAAATCGCTAAAACAATAGAAATAAATGAGAAAAATTTATTCGCAATACATCTCGAAATAAAATTCAATTCTTGAATTCCCCGCACCCAAAAAACTGACAACCAGAAATGCGGTGCGGGATAAGCAGACAATTCCTAGCCCATTTATTGAACTAACCAACTAATCACAAGACAAAAACAACTGTTTACACTGTTCAGACACCAAAAAATTAAACAAACTCTATACGTTCGATGCGGCCAAAGTAAATTGAATAAACAAAACCACTTATAATGACTGTCAATCATCAGGAAAGCACAACTAAAAATCGTTACGAGGAAATGGATTACAGGATTCCAACCAAAAAATAAAAAAGAACAAAATTTAACTGTCCGCTTGTAAAAATCCACAATGAAACTTGTTTACTGTTCAGCGAATATATACTTGCTAGTTTACATATCACACTTCTTTCCCATAATCTCACGCCGGCACTTAAAACACACTGCCGACAAATGCACTCGTGCTCGGGAATTCAAGAAACCATTTATCTTTTGTTTCATTACGCTTCGCTTCATTCAGGCAAAGATAAATGAACAACTTTCTTGGAGTATTTTGGTAAAATTTAGTGACAATGTAGCAGACGGTTACACACCGATGTCACCGGCTTTTGGGAGTGTTTTAATTACAGTCACAACAATAGCAAAAAATGTCTTCGAGATTCCCAACTGAAGTTTTACATAAGAGTGCACAAAGGCAACGAGTTTGAACTTCCTTCGTAAGACGTTGGCAGAATTCAAACATTAGGAAGGGATTGGTTACGTTAATCGTCTATCTGTAATATTTCTTCGGAAAGTTGTCAAACTGTCGCCAACTTAATTATCAAGGAAATTGCAATTGCATCATAGCAAGGGTAGCAAAGGTTAATGTTGGTTATTATCAACATCATCGTTACCATCATCGCCATTATTCATTCATTCATTCATTCATTCATTCATTCATTTATATATTCATTCTAAAAATTTTTTCAAATAATTCTTTGTCCATTATTTTAGATTAAAAGATGCGACGTAGAAGATCATTTAGAGCAAAACCTCCGATGTCATTTTGAGCTGTCCGTTAAAAAACTTGCTGATGTGCAAGACGAAACCAGAATATTGAGGCAGGAAATGGAGAAAATAAAGCTGGATTACCGAAAAATGGAGTCCAAGCTCACTGGAATAGATAGGGAAATCACTGAAGTAAAACTAAAGCACAAAGAAATGGAAACCTTCGCTCCCTTTATATGGAAAGTGACCGAGTTTTGGGAGCGAGTGAATAAGGCGAGGAAAGACAAAGAGATTCGGGTCGAAAGTGATCCCTTCTATGTCGGTCCTCAAGGGTACAAAGTGAAACTCGCAATGTATCCTAATGGCACCAAAGAGGCCAAGAACGCTTATATCTCGCTATATATTGCACTAATGAAAGGGAAATACGACCCCATATTACCTTGGCCTTTCCTAAATAAAGTGACGCTTTCGGTTCTCGACCAAAACCCTAATGTGATGCAAAGGCACAATTTTGTCAAGTCCTTTGTTCCCGAGGCTTCATGGAAGAGCATGAAACGCCCAGAGGGCGAGGAAAATGAGAGACGAGGTTTTGGAAGGTTTCTTTCCCATGATAAACTGAGATCAGGGTTTTATCTTGTGGACGATATTCTATTTATTAAGTTCGAAATAGGCCCAGCAGATGCATCGTATTTTGGCTAAAATAAAATATTTGGAGAAAATGTAACTTGTATGTGACATCGTTGTTCAATAAAAGTTAACTTTGCCATAACCTTATAACTGGCGTGGACTACTCACTCGATCGATGAAACAATTCAGTTCATCTCTTCAACTATTCTCCTTACAAACAACTACTTTCCATCAAGGAAGATCAGTTTTCTTGATGTCCTAATTTACTTTAACTCTTTAATCCCTGAGTATCCCAAAAGTATCACTTCTAATTAAGAGAGTAAAGGAAATGACCACGAGACTAAGAAGCTCTTGATTATTGAAAAAACATCTCCTTTTATGTACCTTAGGAACCGTCCAGAGTACAATATAGGGAACTAGCAAACTTATGTTGGGGTGCAAAGGGTGAAACGTCATTTCATCAATTTTTGTTTTTTTCGAGGTTTTTCTTGGGGTGACAGGCATTAGGTGTAGTGTTTGTGAATGTTTAAGTCTACCATCCCCACCCCCCCCTTGTTTAAATATCGGAGCACGCGTGTTGCAATGTTAATAATTAAAACAACTTGTTGGATTCCTTTCAAAGGTGTTCTTTACTGTTTGTGTTAAATCCGTAAATATACTACACCAGGAGAATTCGAATTTTTTCAAAATCAGTTGATCCATCCTTGAAATTTTTTTTTGCACTACCAACTTCATTCCTATTTTTTACATTATACCATCGTTTCCAACATAATTCAACTGCTGACTGCAATCACTTGACCTCGGTTGTTCGAAGGTCCGATAGCGCCATCCATTGGATAAACCTCAATCCAGTGGATAACGCTATACGTTTTGCTATCACTTATCCGCTGGGTAGCGTTATCCGCCCTTTATACAACTGGGCCCTGATTGATATTTCCTTTGCAACAAAAGCCTTCTACATTCATTAAATCTGTAAACCAGAGTAGCATTAAACCATGTCTAAAAGTCTTCTACTCTCACAGGAAATGACGTTCGTGACTAATTTGTCACGCCTGTAATATTTAAAGCTTCCGTTTTTCAGTTACAAATGGCGGCCGGTGGAGTGCCTGACCTTGGAGGCTACGAGTATGAATTTGTTGAAGAAATTCCAGATGATTGGGAATGTCTTGTGTGTCAGTTACCTCTAAAAGATCCTGTTCAAATCGAAAAGTGTGGCCACAGGCTTTGTGAAATCTGCGTGGGGTCAATTTTGAGGTAATATTTTGATATGTTCTTTGTTGACTAAAATTCCCTGTTGTACGACGTAGAAAGTTTAGAAATATTTAAGCAAAAGCTAAGCAAGATATTACGCTTGCAGCGGTGAAATGTGTTTTTTTCAACGATTAGAGTGAGTTGTTTGGTAAAATTTGCTTATTCGAGTCGACGCTCAAGGTTGCGAAATACTTGACGTTTTACGTCAATCGGTATTAATAACACTGCATTACAAATCCGTAAAGAATGAACTCGGTTGGTTATTGTTGCAGAGAGAAACTGGTTTGATGTGCAATCTGAAGGAGCTGCTTTCTCAGCAGTGATTATTGCCAGACATTTCACAATTGACCGGATTTAGTTGAGTTCAAATTACATGCACTTAATCGCTTCAGACGGAGAGACGTGTAACGGTGCCAAACAAGCAAACGGAATTTGCATAACTTAATCCTGAAAGCCTTGCTGTTTATATTTGGCGCTCGAAACTTATCTCGTTTCATGAAGTCTTGAAATACAATGTTAAGGCCAATGCAGAACAAAATTTTATGAGTGCCCTGTCATATTATTACTTTTAAGAGGAACCATCGGGAAATAGGCACTCCCCAGTTACGGCGCATTTGGTAAACAGTGATCAAGTTTAGAAATAATTTACCCTTTTTAGTTTTGTGGCCACAGGGTTAGACAAAACAGTCCACGCAAATGGACAGATTGGCGTACCCCTGATTGGCAGACTTTCACTCTTTCAAACATCCTTGAATGCTCAACCACTTCACTCCCACCCCTCCCCCCCATGTGATTAGCTTTTTCCTACGAAAGTTTCTCACGTCAATTTTTCCTGTTTTAGATCCGGTACACCCCTGTGTCCTGCAGATCGAGAGCCGATATCAAGAGAGAGGGTACTTTCTCTGAGCTACATATGGGTTTAATTGTTCACTTCTCTATTCATAGTTGAATCAAATTTTCTTAACTCAGCTGGTCAGTTATGGTGTTGCACAGTGAATAATGATATTTTAAGTCATCAAAAGAGTGGTGTGAACAACGAAACTTGACTGCAACTTTGCAGGGGTTGCTTAAAAATAAGTCAAGTGGAATTTAAAGTGTTATCTTCTCATTTTATCCTCTGTATTATGTGTACATAATTTTTTTTTGTTTTGGTTTTGTTTTTTACTTTCTTGAAATGATAGTTGAGAGAGGGCAAGAAAATAGAAATACACTTAAGGATTTCAAGTTATACTTCTAAACAATACAAATAACTAAAAGGAGCTTATTTTCAATTGAACCCATATCCATTGGGCTGTCTGTGGTTGCCTGCGAGAAATAATATGGTATAGGTTTCGATTAGAAGAGAAAAATGGCAGAAAGGTGTTGTCTTTGATGCAGCTTAAATGCAGTAAAAGAGTGTTAAACTTGTGATGTTACACTGAGGAGTGAGTATTATGATATAATTCCTAGTTGATGATCATCAAGGCACTGCTTATTTTGTTAATTTACTCTTTGATTTTAATAATTTATTTTTTTAAATTTATTTTAGATTTTCTCTGATGTTGCTTGCCATCGTAAAATACTGAATGCCCAGGTCAAATGTCCTAATGAAGAGTGTTCCTGGATCGGAGAACTTAGGCATGTTAAGGTATGCAATTGAATCTTTTTTAATCTTTGGTTCAGCTTTGAATTGCAGACAAAGAGTATCCGGCAAACTGTAACATTTATTCAGATGGTTAAGGAAATAATCTGTCAGATCAGTTTAATGAATTGGGACTGAAACTGCGTGACATAGTCTTTATCAAGAAAGAAAACTGGTTAGTCACATAACGTGTGATGCGTGACACCCAAAATCAGAGAAACTGATTTGAGTATAAAAAAATTCTGAATTTGTTCCACTCTGTCGCCAAGTGGAAGCAGCCTTATATAGGCCATAACAGGTCATTAGAATCCGTGTTAATCTCCTACATCAGTAACTAACCTCACTCCACTTATCCACCCAACAATTACATCAATTACTAGTGTTACATTACAAAGGAGTACTTTAAACAGAAGACTCAAAATGCACATTTACAAACGATGCCTTGTTTTGTGAGGAACATCTCTTGTATGTCATATCATAGGGAGCCTCTAAGGTCACATGTAGATACATAAATGTGATGCCTGATCTTTGAAGGTGTCACTGTGGTATTATTGTGTCCTCAGAAACATGGGCAAGAGTGTCCCTACCAGCCAGTTCCTTGTGTTAACGAGGGATGCAATGAAGAGGTTCTCCGCAAAGATATCATTTCTCACATGGAGACCACGTGCCCATGGTCCGTGATACAATGCTCATTCTGTCCTGATCGTTTCCCAAAACTAGAGAAAAAGGTTAGTGGTTGGTAACCCACAAAGATACTCAATATTTCGTGGTTAATGAACGGGATGAAATTCAGTTTGATTTGAAATCATACATTTGATTCGAATTGAAATAAAAAGTAAATCACTGTCATTTTACAAAATCACACAACTAAATCGCCTTAGTATGGTTTATCAGTGGCCAGTAAGGTATTGGTATTTACTGATCTGGTGCCTAAAAAGGGAAGTGGCTTTTGAACAACAACCGTACCACAAGTTTTTGAGGGGGGAGGGGGGTATTTCTCCGTTATTTTTGTTAAATTATTTTTTGTTTAATTTATTCTTATTCTTACAAAAAAAGTCCTCTGCGCAGTCCCTGGTAGATCAATTGCTCCGCCAGATTGCGACTGCTTTGTTTGTAAAAAATTAACTGCTGAGAACCAAGCAGATTCCTAGGATCGAGAGAGTAGTAGGGAGAAAACACACCCTGATGTTACTCTTATGTCCCATTCTTTAGGCTCACTGTGAGGCCTGTCCGCGCTATCCCGTTGAATGCAGTAACAAGTGTGGCGCGAACGACATACCACGAGAAGAGGTACTGAGATTGGATTTCACCTCATTGATTCTTATAAAATTTGCCGACAGGTTAAGCTTGAGAATTTAACTATACGTTCAGTAATATAGCTTTTTCACTAATGATATGATTTATCGATTGATATGTCATACAGGTCGGTAACCACACTGAAAATCTTTGCCCTTTGACTGTGATAGAGTGTGAGTACAGTGCCATTGGATGCCGAGTCAAGGTAATATGCACCTGAATACCATAACTTCATAAATAAATCAGTGTTAATTTATTAAGGCCGTTATTGTTGTAAGCAATCCTTACACAACACGGTTAATAAGCAAATCACAAAGTTGTTTCGTAACTTTCTCCAGTTTCAGAGACGAGATTCCAAAGATCATTTTGATGCATTAAAAGACACCCATCTACACTTGGCCTGCAAGAAACTGATTGACATGTCCAAAACAGTCCAAGAACAAGCTCAAACCATTGCACGTCTTGAAGAGAAGTTAGAACGCCTTCACAATTCCCCCTTTATATGGAAAATATCGAACTTTGCCTCTGTCATGAAGGCTGCTGAAACAAAGGAACGTCTAGTAATAATTAGTGATCCGTTCTACTCTAATCACAATGGATACAAATTTGAGGCGGAGCTGTATCCAAATGGCTACCATATCGATGACGATCCTGGCAGTAAGGGAAAATTCATGTCAATTTACCTCAGAATTCTTGTAGGAGAATATGACGGTCTTTTGATATGGCCATTTTACGATTCAGTTGTGTTCACGTTACTAGACCAAAACGCGTCCGTGGAAAAGAGAAGACATTTGCGTCAAGAAGTTCAGCAGACTCCAAATGGACTCGCAAGACCAACAGAAGCCTCCGAAGAAGCATGTGGTTCCTGGGAATTCGTGTATCACAACAATCTATACAAGCGTTCATACATCAAAGACGATACAATATTTATCAAAGTCGCGTTTGTGGAACACAAAGATAGAAAGTTCTCGAGAATTTTCCATGGAGATTACGATCTATAGTCCTGAATTACTTGCCAAAGCAAGTATCCATTTTGAGGGAGCGATGTCTATACCTGAATTTTTTTCGGTACAATTTAATGAAAAGAGGTTCAAAATACACATTTACAGTGATATATTCATCATGAATTATGGTAATGAAATAGTTTAAGAATTAAAACTCAATAGTAATCACGATTGTCTTTTTCCTATAAGTCTTTTACTCTACGAGTGAATTCCATTCATATCATCAGTTATGTTAAAATACAGAGATTCTATGTTGTTGTGCTTCTGTCCAGTAATATATGGCAGATGGTGCAAACATGTAGGAACCTTTAATATTGGGCTACATGCCAGATGATTTCTAATCTATTTACCAGGCGTCTTTTAACATAGTATAAAATTCACAGTGGATCTTTACTTTTCGTATCTACTAGAATGTCAAATATATGGAAAATATTTATCTCACAAAACCCATTTTAGAGGTCCTTACTCCGCACTTTTCGTGCTTCTGGTCGTTTACTCTACTAGGAGACACACCCCGTCTTGTCCAACACCTTCCCCAAACAGGCTTTTCATAGGCACTGCGGCACGGGCCAAACAAAGCAAGTAGCTTTGACCTTGACTCTTTTCGAAAAAGAACTCACCGACTTGTTGCTTTGGGCTTCAGAAATCTTACCGCAGCGCCCACAGTCGATTTAACTGTTTCGTGGAAAAGCTAATTCAGTGCTCTCAAATCACTAAACTACATTTTAAAATGCCTTAAAAATCTGTAGTCTAACTTGCGCACACGTAATCAAACATTGGATGGCCCTCCCTTTGCAAAACTTATGCAATATTTTTACAGTCTTAAAGTTATTTGTGGCCTTACCCCTCGCAGCTGTCGCACTGTCAGCGTGGTCAGAACCATTGAACATTTTTATGTGTACAATGAACGTATACGTGTGTATATGGTTTTGCTACACTTTGGTCTCGCATTTTCAATCACAGAGGGGAGGATAGACTTCGAATTGAATCAAAATTGTGTCATCGCGTACGTAACGTCTTTTTTTAAGGTCGAGATGGGAAATGAACCTATGGATTCCAAATACGTCATTATTCACATCATGCGATTTAGAGGGTCTGGCGAACTTCAATTGCTGGCATCTTGGCATGCCCTTTCTTGTGGGTGTTAGAGCTTTTCTAATGTTTTTAGTCTTAGATGTATTATCTTGTTGGTCGACTAAGGTGAACACCACTTTCTGCTGGAAAGGCCACACTAGTTGGTCGTCATTCCTACCTCTAAGTAATTGGGCATACACAGAGAGATGAAAGTTAATTTCTGGTGGTCCATCTGGGCAAATAGTAAGGCGCATTTTGTACCCGTATGGCTCCACAAAGAATGATTCACTGAAAAAACAACGCTGTGAAGCAGCGATCGCTTTCTCAAAACGCGACCTGAAGTTGGAGAACGACCAAAAAAACTTGATGCTTTGGCATGCTGACTCATCTTTGAGAAAGTGTGTTTTCAAATACAAACTGCTTGATCTCTGCACTTGAAGCCTGAAGAACTTTCAATTCCTCTTTGCTTGAAAATGATGAGATCGAAATCGAGTGAAGGAAACACATACCTACGATGACGACACAAACAATGAAGTGTTTCATTTGATCCAGTCTAGCAGAATAATCTTTAACAGTTTCGTCCAAACGGGATTGATTTTGTTTCCTATCCGACCAAACAGTTGCATGGATCTTCCACTGGACAGAGTCGATTTGTTCCCTCACAATTTCAACATTGCTACTTGTTTGATTTTCCAAACTAGTAAATGCTTTTTGGAGGTTTTGGAGTTTTGTTTTGATTTTGGACACGTCTCCATGTGACACTTGCTGGCTGTCAATTTTTTGGATTTTCTTTTGCAAACTAATGACTGCCTCACGGAGTTCCACCAACTTTTTGTCTTTTTCGGAGAGCGCCTCCATTTGTGTCCTAATGACACCAACTTCAGCACGCACAGCCTCAAGTCCAGAGGTAAGTTCAAAGACATCCTTTTTAGTTTGTAGTTCTTTCAATTTCTTATTTGTTAGAGTAATCTTTTCATGTAGATCTTGAACTCCCTCGCTTTTCTGAGCTGCATTTGATAATTCCTCGATCTTTTTCGAGGCTTTCACCATTTCAGCTTGCATTCTTTCAACAGTGGCAGTAATCGCAGTTGATGACACCTGAAGTTCCTGAAGCCTCCCACAAGCCAACTCTAGATGGGATTCAGTACATTTCCTTAGGTGATCTGAGATGGATTTCCTTTGGACCTTTGGGAAATATTTCACAGCACTTCAGTTAAAAGGTGTCTTAATCGTGCCTTGTCCTCGTGTAAGCAGAGGACAAGGCACGACTTGCTTGTGCATCGCGTGGTTTTTGGATACGACTGATGTTTTGAAAGTCTTGTAACTGCACGAACCGCCGAATGACGATAAATCAGGAAACTAATGCATAGATCAAGCAGTTTTTATCTTATCATACTCTGACGTCCTTTGTGCACTTTAAGACAATGATACCTTTATTCTTTTAATTGGTCAATCAGCAAAATAACTATGACAGATGAGCCAAGCTTAAAGTTCTTCGAGATAGTTTAGAATCTCGCGAGAATCCAATATAGATACCACGTATAAATCTGGATAATCTATTATGCATTCGTTATGGACCAATCAAGAGTAAGTTGTTTTGTATTATATATAAGAATATACCTTTCAATATCTATAAGAAGGAGTGCGAAGCTGTAGAGTAAGAAATTAATGAGAAGGGGCAATCTGTTTTAATACTCCGACGTACCTTTATTTTGCAACCAATATAAGCAAATGTGCACTCCACCTTGGTATGGGGACAGTTTTCTTCAATGTGATCATTCATCTGAAAAGAAAGCAAATGGTGCTCATAGTGTCGTGTGCAGTTTAAATAGTGTACTTGATAAGCCTGAATTATACATTAATTTTAATTGGTTCTTACTTATTATGTTCTTACTTATTATCTGTTGGAGGACAGACGCATAGATGACGTAAAAACATTTTATTTTTTTTAAGAATATGAAACAAATACATTCCATGTTGCCGTGGATCTGTTCTGTAATAGATAAAAGAGGAAGTCAAATTGTGGTGAGACGTTCATCAGTGTCAGACTGGCCGCGCCTCGATCGTGAGCCACTTTTGTGTCTAATCACATTTTGACGTCATCTGTGATCTATTAGTACTGAGCAGACACACGGCAATAGAGAATCTGTTTGTTAAATAAATAGAGGGGGTAAGTTTCTAAAGAAACTGTGGTGCTGCGTCGGTGGGAGTGTATAACAGGTACGTTGGTGTTTACAACTTAGTTGAAAACGTAAATTGGCCACCGTAAAGAGTTAAAAGGCTGACGTTTCGAGCGTTAGCCCTTCGTCCGCTCGAAACGTCAGCCTTTTAACTCTTTACGGTGGCCAATTTACGTTTTCAACTCAGTTGTTAACACCAAATTACCTATTTGTTAAACAGATCGTGGGTGATACTCACCTTGTCTCTTGGAATTTTGAGTTCACCACATTTTTGAAGACAAACCATCGGATACTTCGTACACACGTCCAAATGTCCCTAATAGATAACCATGCAACGCTTTCTTTCAGTACGTTTACAATATAACTCAGGGAGAATATTCTGACTTCCTTATGGTCATACATTATGGTCAAAACATCTTTAGATGAAAATTTTAAACACCTGATTTTGAAAAACGCATTGTTCTTAAGGAGGCCATCCCTGACTGAAACTCAAGCCCTCTAACTGTCCTTTCCGAGTGAGATAAAATGTCAACTCTGTCCCTGAGGGGATGTTACCCTTCTCTCTTTGTATAAGTTATAAACACTTAGTATAACATATAATGGTGCTAACACTACCAATCTCTTTAACTTCACCATATATATACCAGCTGCCTCTTCCAATTTTAACTGCCTTTTGTGATAGGGAAAAAATTAACTACAAGAAAATAAAACAAAACAAAAATATTGTTCTTGATATTCACCTGTTTATTGCACCAAACAAAGAAAATTTTACAGTAGTGACACTCTACATTCCTCTTTGGACATTCCTTTGTTGCATGATAATTCAGATCTTTTTTCAAGGGAGTAGCTTCACAATCTTTGTTAGTGCATTTAACCCCTACAAAACTGCACTTAGATTCATGTTCCTGAAAAAAAGCAAGAACAATCAAACATATTTCTAAGGTATGTCCATGACATCAGAATACCAGCACTGCCACATTATCTATCCATGGCCAGTCAAGACTGCAACATAATGAACAAATTTTGTTTTCTTACCGGTAAGAAATAGGTTAATTGGCATGGTGCTGAGCATACAGTCAAGCTATCTAGTCTGAATTAAATTTGATTTATTCACCTTAGCATGATAGTTGGTAGGTAGAACTTATTGCAAAAACACTGTCGTTTGAAAAAGGAAACAGTTGAGATGAAAAAACACTAAAATGGAAAATAAAAATTTCAATGCATGCAAATCCAAATTTCCATGAATGCTTTTCTTAGACACAACTTATGTACTAGGAGAAATAAACCGCAACACAGTAAAAAGTAGGAGGTAACTAAATCATTAAAAAATCAACTAAACTTATGTTGTAGAACCATTAAGATCCTAAGAAAGAGATTTATATGTTAATGAATTGCTTCCTAATGTATTTAATTTTAGTTACTTCCTTTTTCCCTTTTGCTTTTTGCATTTTTCTTTAACAATGTTAATGCAATTAGGTGGATGAGGCAAAATTAATCAAAAGGTCAGACATGTCCCATCTTTCACAGTCATATTAGAGAGGAAGGATTAGAACAGTTGAGATTGGTTATTATATTTTGTATCTCCTTAACTTTCACGTATTTTAAATAACAGAATAATTAAATGCTCTTTCTTATAAAACTTTACAACCTGACCAAATAAGGTAAAGAACCATAACTGACCGCTATATTTCTGAGTTCTCCAGTCCATTTACAGCCATTTTTTTCGTTACGGCATTTCACACATAAATCCAAAATGGTCCTCTCAGTGGCAACATCTGGATATATGTCCTTTGGAATTTAGGGACAGAAACAAATTTGGAAAAAAGAACATTGAAATAAATGATAGAAGAAATAAACAAACTAGTTCTGAATTTACTAAAAAAATAAACTTTGGAGCTCAGTCCCATGTAAGGATGAATTTTAATTTAAAAATTACAATTTCTCCTTAAATGATGAGAATGAGCCCAATCAAAAATTAAAACTCACCCTTAAATGATCAGACTGATAGCCAAAGTTTATTTTTCTATAGCTTTACCTGTAAATTCATCCAATTTCTCAAGGAATTGTTTATATACCATATAAACACCAAAATGACAAGAAAATTTCCAGAATGAACAAAAATTAACTTACATTAGCATGAAAGTCAACTACCAGGTATGTGGGGTGAATTCAACATTAGTAAGCAATTTTGGTTTGTAAATGTACTGCAATTAAGCTAGTTGGTGACCTAATTCCAAGATATGATAAGGCAATTGTTGACCCAAAAAAAAATCAAAGTTGACTCAAATGTGAAAAAACAGGATCTCACAGGACCTTTAAGGATTGCCAAAGATTCTTAAAGACAAGGATCCTTAAAGGATCAGTTGTGATACACCTTCAAAGGTCTTCCTATGCAAATAATTAAATGCTAAGATCTCAAGGATTTAATAAAGATCCTCCAAGGATTCTATGCAAAGATCCTAATAAAGATCCTAGCAAAGGTTTCTGTAGGGATTCTTTAAGCTCCTAATGGCCAAAACAAGGATTCTTTCAAGGAACTTTTTGAGATCTTTGTTTAGGATCTTCAAGGATTTGATCAGTATCTACAAGGATCCTTGTCAAGACTTGGCAAGATCTCTGCTAGGATCTGCAGGGATTTGATCATGAGGATCTTCAAGGATCCTTGTCCATATCTTTTCAAGATTTGTGCAAGCATCCCTCAAGATCCTCAAGGACAAAACAAGGATCTTTCAAAGATCTTAAAAGGATCCTTTTAAAGATTTTATTGCCTAAAACCTTCATGCTCCTAAAAGAAATTTTTTGTGATAAAATTACTACTTTACTTGAAATTGTTGAAATCTTGCAAAATAATTGAAAATAGACTGAGGTAAGAGAAAAAATAAATCTGCAGTGTTCTCAGCAGGCTCCACTTAGATTTATAATGAACCTCATGAAATGATTAAGTTTAAGGCCATGGCAACTCCATGGCATGTGGGATGGAAACTATGCATTTTTATGAATTTAACATACACCTGTACATTTGTGAGTACTTTTGGTTTGCAAAAGTAATGCAGCAATAAAAATTGTAGCAAGTTAGCAACCTAGTTTAAATATCCATTATTTTTTCCACTTCACATGATAGGTGCATTTATGTTTAAGTGGAATTGAAAGAGATGAATAAGTAAAAAAAACCGAGTAAAAACAAACAGGGGAGAGAGAAGGAGAGGCAGGCAGACTGACAGACATACAGACAGACAGAAAGACTAGTAGACAGGGAGAGAGATCACAGAAAACGAGGAAAGACAATGAACATTTACTAACAACTGAGCAAGCTGTTCTACAAATGTCCAAGTATAGTGATTACTTCTTTCAATATCTCATCCTTACATCACTAATACTAATGAAAATTTTTATCTGTTAGCATAAAATTTCCATGAAGATGAATAACAACACTATACACTTCTTACCTGTTTAAAACGTAAATCAAGAGATTGGCGGTCAATGGGACATTCTCTTTTGCTAATAAAAAACACTCCTGATTAATAAGTCTACCCTTTGTCAACCATAAATAGTATGAACTCTTCACAAGAACAATTGTGAAGCTACTAGTATATATTTGTTCACCCTGGCAATATTTGTATATTTGCAGACCTCTTTGGAAACTTTTGGGATCATGTGTACTTAAGGCATTTGTCAGTTGATTATTGGTTAATATTAAACAATTATTGGATGAGGTTTTTGTGATATCCAGAATAATCAAGGTTGAGGTAAGGGGTTATCAGCTGAAGCTGAAGGCTGAGGCTGATAGCCCTTATGGAGACCTTGATTATTCTGGATGTCACAAAAGCTGAATCTAAAAATTGTTTTATTATACATAATTGACCAAAAAAATAATTGTCATGACAGTAAGTGGAACTAATTATTTAATTCTAAAAATGTAAAAATATACAAATCAGCAAGCAACACAATTTAGCTCCCAAACTTGACATGATTACCCTTCGAAATCATGCACCACCATTATACATGACATGATTACCCATGACCTTGAGTGTCCTTGACATTATTATTGTGTAATCTGCAGCTAGATGACATCCCAGGCACCAATTTAAAAAATTCACTGTTAGCTTTTGGCCAATCAGAAAAGAGATAGTGAGTTGAATGTATAATAATATTAGGAAACATGTCCACCGAGTGTTGGTTGAAATATCAGCTGATACTTGACCTACATACATGTATCAACCAACATACCCACTGACATTAAAGTTGCCTCTTGAGTGACAAACATGCGGCCGAAACTTGGCCAATCAACTTTACTGACACTCGGTCAACACTACTGTCACTTGGTCAGCTCTTGTTATTGAGTTCTATCTTATGAATTCAACTATTAACTTATTTTTTCTAGCCCCTTGAATCTCTTCTTTCATGTCCCCTGTGAGTAGGGGGGTTGGAGACCATCATCATTCCAGAAAAACAATGGTTAACAATTCACTTAAATGTCCAACAGTCCCCTGATACACCACTGACATTGGACTGAAATGCTGCTGACTGTTGATGGCAACATAGCAATTGAGGTGTTGGCCAAGTGTCAACCAACAGGAGCAACTGATGATCTAGCAACTTGATTAACATGACATCTGAGTATTGGCCAATATAATGATTGACACTCGGTCGAAATTTCAACTAATAGTATTGGTTGACACTTGGCGAACAGATGCCTTAAGTACACTAACTTTTGAACTAGATAAATTCAAAGGGAATTCATAATATTATGGTAATATTGCAATTGGTCTCCCCCAAACTCTTATTACTTCCGTTTCTTTAATTTAAAAGTTTATGGATGTACCTCCTTTCTAGACGGAAAAAAAATTAGTAAATAACTAAAGAAACAAAGAAATTAAGATAACGAACAGAAAAAGGATAAACTTGGTAGAACCTTGAAAGTGGAAGCTAGATAATTGTAAAGTGTTCTCCACGCATAGCATTGCTTATGTAAGCTATACTGGGCTCCCAACAAGTTGCATTATTGTGATTCATCGTACCCAATCGAGAGTACAACGTTGCTTCTTTACAAGGCGCCCCTACTTCTTTTAAACTTAAAAAAGCTTAAAATAATAGTTTGAGGAAAATAACATCGCAGATTATAATTTCTGATGATTATAACGCCAGCGAATTAACGATTTGCGAATTCATTCTTTTTTTTTGTTTGCATACTTTAATAATAAAAAAATGTTCACGATCGCTCGCAACTCGTCAGCGAGTGATTAAGCCATCGATGTTGACTTTGTATTTGGAAATTTTAGCCTAAACAGAAAACAAAGTACGGAAAATTGCATATTTGGAAAAAATAGCGTGGCTTTCAGCTTCATTTCACACATGCAACCCAGATTTATGTTACCTTTTCATCGCCTTTGTTAGACACCGCTTGCAAAATCTGTGGCCACATTTCGTCTGCACCGGTCCCCGCATAGGACATTCACATATTGGACATATATATTCTCTAGGCACTTTCGCAACGAACTCGTAGTCAAATCCACACGTAGACATGACGCTTCGAGGGTACGCAAATAAAAGTGTTACGTGTGTTGTGAAGCGAGGTCACGCATGGTAACACGCATGTCAACTGTCCCCTGCCGACATGCCGACAGCGCCGTGGTCCGGATCGACACGTCAGTTACGGAATGACCACCCGGCGAGAGATGAAAGATTTCCATGCTCTGTTGAAGAGAGACATTTTCTTCGGACAACGTTTGTTAATATCCTCGGAAATATTTAGTTGAACATGCAGTAGCAGTAGCTGATCAACGGTATAGAAACCATATCCTAGAAAATATAGCCTGAGAGGGAATAGCCAACAATTAGGAAACCAGAAATGTTGTCCCCTCGATTGTCAGATAAGGCTGTTTAAGTCATTACAGCATCACACGCGCGTAAGGGTGGCATTTCGAAAACGGCCTCTGTATTGTCTCTTTGAAACATTTCTCAAAAAATGCGCGCGAATCTGAAACATCACCATCTTGGCTAACATACTCAAATCTAACCACACCACCCACTAATGAGAGGGCGCGTTTCAGCAATAGAGCAAAATTTTCCAGGTTTCATGACGTGATAAAACTGATGGAAAACACTTAAAAAGCTTGTAAATCATGAGCCGTGAAGCGAATGATTTACAAGATTTTCATGCGTTCTCGCAGCATCCAAACTAGGTTTATTTCGTTTCTAAGCCCGGGAAAGTGTGTTCGATTGCTTTAATGACATAGATATCAGGAGAGAGAACAACAGATAATTCAGTTACGATGTGATCAAGTCGCTGATTCTTCGCGAATCCTTTTACTCTCATGAAAATCAACAACAAGTGCCAAAATGCTTTTTCGGCCAAATTTTCTTCGTTTTCCTGACACTCCTTTTTTATTGAGGAACTAAAGTACCGTTTTTTAGTGTTTGTACATATATACCAGTAGTGTTTCTACATATATACCAGTAGCTTCGCAATGTTGGTATTGGGGGAGTTTATTGCCTAATGAATCGAAACATAAACTTGGGAAGTGGATTGACTTGTCTGATGATACGTACTAAATACAGTTCTGTAATATTCATAATGACAACTGTTATAATACTGAAGAACAAACTTCAACACCCTTTATCGTATTAACATTGTGAAACCGACAAGACATTCAAGAGACACAGCTAAGTGAAAATCAACTGAATTCAAGTAAAATTAAGTAACTGAAAAAAAACCTATTTCCTTTTTCTTTTTTTTTTTTTTCTATCACTTTAAGAGTGTTCATAATCGCGTAATTGTAAGTCACAAACTCTTCAATCACCACTTAAAAACTCAAAAACGATCTTCTGTGGTATAAAAAGTGAATGACCATTTTCTTTATCTGACATGTTTTATCACCCGGAATATCAGCAGATGTGATTATTTATTCAGTTTTGTCTCAGTTCTTTCCACATAGTTCAGTTTCCTTCTCTAAGACAGGAATAACTATCGCAATAAAGGTTAGAGTGTCTACTGTAGAAAAATAGCGTGTCGCTTACGATGTAATGTCTAGTTTTAAGCTGCTCCTACGTAACAAATTTGCAAAATTAAATCCGAAAGCGATATTCTGAGCTCTTTCCTCTACCGGACTGGAGTAGCAAGGACTAAAGTGCCCATCGTTCCTTGGATAACTACACATATGAATATTTCGCCTCAGTTTTGGACAAGGCTGCTGATCAATAAGAGTAATTGTAACTTTCTTGTCAAAAGGCCAGGGCAAAATTCCATCGTATTCACTTTTCATTAAACGCACAAAAATCGACAGATGAGTGTTCAATCCGTCATTGCGTCCATTGGGATGCAATTCCAAGCGCATTTTGTAACCGTATGGACCAGTGTGGAATGGTTCACTATATATAGTTATGAGTATTTGATCCGTCCTTAGCTTTCTGAAGGCAGTCATCAACTTGGGTAAATTTCCAGACAAACTTATTGCCGACGTGCACATTATTTGAGACCTCTCGAGAAAGAGTTCGTGTTTCGTCAGCAGAAAAGGCGCAGCGTTTACCGTCCGTCATATCTGCAAGCTGGGCGACTCCAGAAATTCTCCTCTGACTTCGGGGAAGGCCTGTTGGTCTTGGGAGAGGGGGCGCCGAAGGGCCCACCAATGTTGGAAGCTAAAAGGCGCTCATTCCAAGGGCACCAGCTTGCAGCCTCTTGCCAGTGCTTTCTGGCCTTGTGATTGGTAGCTCTTGTATCTTTCGTCTTATTGCTTCGATTTCGCCTTGTAAATTTTGTTGGATTCTACAATAATTTTCCTAAATAAATAAAGTTATTACAACAATTGCTTTTTATATTACATCATTTAGTACTCACTGACTTAATACATATAACACATCATCATCATTTATATGAAATCTTACAAACCTACGAGTGGAACAGTTTTTAGCCCTTTAACTCCCATGAGTGAGCAAGACAGAGTTTCTCCTTACAATATCAATACAATGTCAACCAGATAAGTGGTGAGAATAAAGAAAAATATCAATTTGGGAATAATTTGGGAACTAATATTACAAGAATTTTATGGTTGACAGTATGGAAAACGACAAATTTGATCTGGGAGTTAAAGGGTTAACCTGATAAGCACGTAATGTTTACAAAGTGTTTGTGTACTATTTATGTCGCCTGTCTCTCAGTAAAACTTGATAGGTGATTTCCAAGGCCAAAGGGCCTGGATCTTTTTTCATGGGAGAGGGTTAGTTGCAATAGAGCACTTCAACTGTACCTTTGCTTGGTTGAACTTTTTCTCTGAAAAATGGAAAAAAATTAATCCACAGCACATTTAGGCTGTGACTTAAGTGGGACGGGGGACGTGGGGACTGGGACTCCATTTTTTTAACAGTTTCAAGACTCCCTGCGTTGAAACTATTCTGTTCCCAGAGTTCTCACGGAGAAATAGGCAAGCAAACATGTCTGGCCGAACCATGGACGTTGAAAAGCATCGGCTACAACTAACGAGCTCTCCAGCATATAATAGCTTTCTCGAGACCACCGAAAATTGTTCTCTACAAATTCAGCGCAAATATCAGGTATTGTTTGTTTAACACGTTCCCGAGTCCCCACGCGTTCCCAAGTCCCCGAGTCCCGCATCTCCGAGTCCCACATCTCCGAGTCCCACATCTCCGAGTCCCACGTCTCCGAGTCCCACGTCT